TCCCGGATTTATTAAAGCTTTCTACAGTTGTCCCTGTAGAGAAGAAACCTAACTCAATTGAAGCACAGAATTATCGCCCAATCAATACTCTTCCGATCCTTGAAATTTTTTTTGAAAGAGTTGTGTATAGTCAATTTGTTGAGTATCTGGAAAACTGTAATTTAATTACTGAACATCAATCGGGGTTCCGAAAAGGGCACAGTTGTGAGACGGCAATCCAGTTTGTTCTGGATGAATGGAAAAATAGTTTCGACAGCAATAAAAGCAAAATCGCAGTGTTTCTAGATCTCCAACGAGCTTTTGAGACAATAGAGAGAGGCAAACTACTTGAAAAACTTGATACTGGGGTGGTTTCGTAGTTACTTAACAGACAGAAGACAACTTGTGAAATTGAATGGAAAAATGTCTGAGCAAATTTCCAATGAGTTAGGAGTTCCGCAAGGGAGTGTGTTGGGCCCTATTTTGTTTGTGCTTTATGTGAACGATATGGTGAATGTAGTTAATGATGAGGATAATTTAGGGTTACATCTTTTCGCAAATGATACCTTGCTTTATGGATCTTCTGAAAACATTGAACATTTAGTTATTAAAATAAATACTGTTCTAGGGAAAATTGATCAGTATTGCAAGAGAAATCTTCTTAAGGTTAGCAAGAGTAAAACAAACTATATTGTAATTGCAAAGGAAAGCATAAAACAGTTATTTCTGGTAAACCAACATAACATCGTAATGCGTGACGAGGCTTTAGCTAGTGTCAAAAAAATTAAATATCTAGGTGTAGTTATAGACGACAAAATGTCATTTAAGGAGCAACTTTGCTATCTCAAAAGTAAGCTATGGAATTAGTCACCTTAGCAGATGTTCGCATAGTTTATCAAGATGGTCAAGATTAGTAGTTTTTAATGCATTGGTAATTACCACACTTTACATACTGTGCAACAATTTTGTATTTGTTGCAGCAAAATGAAATAAACCGCTTACAGGAAATGCAAAACCGGCTATGAGAATAATACTATCATGTGATAAGTAGGGGTGGGCAAAATAATCGATTAATAATCGATTAATCGATTAATCGATTAATCGATTAGTCGATTATTTTATTTTCAAATAATCGATAATCGATTAATCGATTATTTTCGATTAATCGATTATTTTCGATTAATCGATTATTTTCGATTAATCGATTATTTTCGATTAATCGATTATTTTCGATTAATCGATTATTTTCGATTAATCGATTATTTTCGATTAATCGATTATTTTCGATTATTCGATTATTTTCGATTAATCGATTATTTTCGATTAATCGATTATTTTCGATTAATCGATTATTTTCGATAATCGATTATTTTAGATTATTCGATTATTTTCGATTAATCGGTTATTTTCGATTGATCAATTATTTACGATTAATCTATTATTTTTGAGATAATTTTATGTTTTGTTTTTGTTTGCATATCTAAGGGCCGGTTTATTCACCTTCTGATAAACTGTTAGGTATGCAATTTCGCGGATAATAACGCAATCTGTAATCCCATTGGTCGGCCAGTTATTGGTCGGCCCTTGGTCGACCGAGACAATAATTATAGAAGGGTAAATTGATCTTGCTAATAGTTGTCAACCGATTAATCGATTATTTCCGATTAATCGATTATTTTCGATTAATCGAAAATAATCGATTATTTTTAATAATCGATAATCGATTATTTATTTTGATAATCGCCCAGCCCTAGTGATAAGTACACGTCCATTAAGACCATGCTTAGACAACTACAATGGCTCCCTGTGCAGGAATTTTTTCGGTACAACGTCTTAGTTTTCGTTTTCAAGAAATAAAAAGCTTGCTGGAAATTCTGTTTTTTTTAAAGGTCTGGATGATTTTAATAAGTTACCTAAGTAATAATATTAAAAATAGTTTATCTCTGAATGGTTTCAAGAAAAATTTAAAATTGTTTTTGCTTAGGGAAAATCGACGGGAAAATGATCTTGTTTCCTAAGTCAACATGGTCTTTGTGCATTTAACGAGACATCTTGATCAGGTTTTTGTTCATTTTGTCCATTCTGACTCTTGTCTTTGTCCATTTTAATAATTGTACAGTTGTATTTTGCAAGGATGTTTTCTCGGATGTTTTGATTGTTTTTGTGGTAAAACTGTGGAATTTGATTAAAATTTTGTAAACTAGCGTGTATTTGCTGAATAAAGGATTATTATTATTACTTCATTGTTGAGTTTGCTAGGTAACTGTGACATACTGGATGGTTGATCCTGTGATAACTTTTAAATTACTGTATTGTTTGTGATTATTAAGTTTAGCTCTGTTAGTTTATTTATTTTATGAATTATTTTACATTTTATTCATTAGTTACTTTTCAAGTTGTATATACAGGGTGAGTTACTAAGCGCGCGGTCGTCCATATTATTAGTACGGGATACGAGGCCTATTTCATCAAATCATTTTACACTGTCTTGCATTGTTATCATCAGTTAGATAACATGATGCTAAAACGCACTTGTGCAGGGAAATAGATGGGAGTGGGGGATTTCGCTGAAAAAAATATTTCAGAAAATGTTGTCATAAACAAGGAAAATATATAATTATACACCGTCTTGCATTTATTTATTGAGTTAATTTGTGCACAAATAAAATTGAATTAACACATGCAAGACGTTTTCATGGAGGTTTTGGAGTTGTAATATTAGATAGAAATTGTCAATTTTTCAGAGGGGTGAAATATCATTTTACACCACATCATGTTGATTTAGATTAAAGCTCGAATGTAGAATAGCCACTGGATACTGATGCAAGACGTCCTGTGGAGGGATAACGGGCTGCAAGACGGAGGTCAATGTATTGTCTTATGAAGGAGTGAGAAATCATTTTACACCGTCTTGCACTGGTACTAATGGGAAAAACAGAACACATTGATAACATTTAAAAAAATACAAGACGTTCTAAATAGAAAGAAAGGACTGCAAGACGGTGATGAAGTTGACTAATTTTGACGGGGGTCAATCCATCAGGTACAAAGGTGAATACTACTCCAAATTACAAATTACGCACATTAATTTTAAATATTTTTGCTCTTTACCACGTAGAATAATTCTATTTTGCAAAATTCTCTTAATATTATGTATATTTGAATATCTCTACGGACATCAAATAAGAAAAGGTTGAAAATTGTTCTCTTTCTGACGGCATATAATCATTTAAGTTTTTTTAGGGTGGATATGCCATAACACATAACGGATTGTAATTATTAGCTAAATTTGAGAAATTTGATTTTAAAGCAGCAAAAAAATGACAACAAATGATCTGTCTGGAATTGTAAACAGAAATTATAATTCCTGTATTCAGCAGACTCCCCTGTTGAGCTGCTATGTCAACTGTCCTTTTCTATCTGTATGATTTAGAAAAGAATGAACAGTGAATGGTTCAGTAAATAACTCAACAGTTCAGTTAAAAAAGAAAACGGATTTATTAACTTTTTTCCCCCAAAAAAACGTCTTGGACTTATGTATTACCATTTCTTAACATATATTCTTCCGGTGGACATAAGCATGAAGTGGTGTAAAATAATTTCTCACTTCCTCATGAGAAAACGCATTGACATCCGTCTTGCAGCTCGTTATCCCGCCACAGGACGTCTTGTATCAGTATCCAGTAGCTATTCTACATTCAAGCTCTAATCTAAATCAAAAATGGAGTGGTGTAAAATGATTTTTCACCCCTCTCAAAAATTGACAATTTCCATCTTATATTACAGACCCAAAACCCCCATGAAAACGTCTTGCATGTGTTAATCCAATTTTGTTTGTGTACAAATTAAGTCAATAAATAAATGCAAGACGGTGTTTAATTACATATTTTCCTTGTTTATGACGACATTTTCTGAAACATTTTTTTCAGTGAAATCCCCCACTCCCATCTATTTCCCTGCACAAGTGCGTTTCAGTACCATGTTATCTAACTGATGATAACAATGCAAGACGGTGTAAAATGATTTGATAAAATAGGCCTCGTATCCCGTACTATATCTCCTATAGGTACTAACGGAAATCGAAGAAAAAACTAAATACAAAACTTGTAGATAAACATGAGTACTACATTCCTAAATTATTTTCCAGTATACTGGGTGGCCCAATAACTAGTAGTGACATAAAGTTATGTTTTTTCAAATGACTCCCCCTGTATATTATGACTTCTCTGGATTCTGCGGAAAAATTCTAGACACATTTTATGTACAATGTCATATACCTATCTTCAACTGTTTCGGAAATATTGACAGTTGAAAATGGACTTTTTTGCATCTTTGACAGACTGTGAAACCTAAACGGTTAAATTTAGAGGAAAACGGATTTTACATTCCTATCTTAGATTTTCATAAGCTATCATTTGACACCAACTTTGAATTTAACCAAAGATTAATAATTTAGGCGAAATTTTTAATCATGGATTAAATTCAAGATTGGTGTCAAATGATAGTTTATGAAAAACTAAGATAGGAATGTAAAATCCGTTTTCTTGTGAAATTAACCGTTCAGGTTTTACAGTCTGTCAAAGATGCAAAAAAGTCAGTTTTCAACTGTCAATATTTCGGAAACAGTTGAAGATAGGTATATGGCATTGTACATGAAATATGTCTAGAATTTTCCGCAGAATCCAGAAATGTCATAATATACAGGGAGAGTCATTTAAAAAAACATTACTTTGTGTCACTACTAGTTATTGGGCCACTCTATATACTGGAAAATAATTTAGGAATGTAGTACTCATGTTTATCTACAAGTTTTGTATTTAGTTTTTTCGTCGATCTCGGTTAGTATAGGAGATATGGACCACCGCGCGCTGAGTAACGCACCCTGTATATATTTTGTACTACTGTAAACTAGCAATTTTTATGCTAAATAAAGGATTTAATAATAATAAAACAATTGTCACGTTTTTGCATTTATTCTTGTAAAAATAACAAACTATTACTAAACAGGTCGTTGTTTACAGTATGGGATCAAATATTGGCACAATCCACGACGGACCCGGAAATTACTCTCTATCTTCAAAGTGTAGTTGGCTCATTGATGCCCCGCATCAAACCATAACTCTGCATTTTGAAGAATTTGCCACTGAATGCGGATGGGATCATCTTTATGTGTTTGATGGAGACTCGGTTAATTCTCCATTGCTGGCTGTGTTCAGTGGGTTGATGTATAAAAATGATTATAGGTAACACAATTTTTTTTAAAAATTATTACAATAAGAATATTTACTTAGTTTGTCAAAAAATATGTTAATGATTAAACTTTTTTTTATAGTGTTAGAAGGATACCAGAAGTTACAGCAACCTCGGGAGCAGCATTGGTTCATTTTTTCAGTGACGATGCATATAATATGTCGGGGTTTAATATTACTTACAGGCTGAATGCTTGCCCTTCTGTGGTAAGAAAAGAGATTTGAGAAAACTCATTCGCAGCAACGTCACTTTCATTAAATCTTTTCTAGATTTCTGGGAAAAACTGCTCTGGGAACGGTGTTTGTATTGATGGTACTTGCACTTGTGATGGAGGCTGGGATGGTGGTGCTTGCCATTTGAGAAAATGTCCAGACGATTGTGGAGTTCAGGAGAATAGGGGAGTCTGTGAACCAGAGAGAGGGTAAAAATTGAATGTCTGACACATATTTATAAAAAAAAATGCTTTTGCATTGGTTCAAATTAAAATATAGAAACCCAATCTTTGAGCAAAATGTTTCATTTAGTTTTATTATGATGCTAAATGCCAATTTCAATGCTAATTTGAACCACACACAAAAGAATTTACAATGCTAATTTGTATCAACAACAAATTATTTTTCCTAGATGTCACTGTTTTGGTGAATATAAAGGAGATGACTGCAGCCAGGTAAGCAGCTTTCATTATAAATACCATACAAAAAGACTTAAACAGAATTGTTCTTTTAGCTCTCTAGTAGAGGTTATTGGGAAATAGTGAATATTCCAAGTTTTGTTCCAAATGGATCAGCCTCTCATTCTGCAGTAGTTTGGAAAGACTCCATGTACATTATTGCCGGTGAAAGATACGATGGTTATTATAGAGAATTAAATATTCCTTTAATGTATATTTATGATTTTAATGGTAAGAAGAAATCAGTTTTAATGCTCCAAAAATGTGATTATGAATTTATACAGGAAATGTTTGGGAAACTCCGCACATTAATGAAGGTCCGCTGATGCGCTATGGGCATTCGACAGTGTTGTATGGTGACAAAATATTTCTATATGGCGGTGTGGTTGGCAATAGGTAAGCAAAGATGATAAATGAAAATAAGTGAAATTAAAGTTGATTTTTTTTAGGGGTACTACCTCTGAGCTTTGGGCATACGATATAAGTGCAAAAATTTGGGAAAACATAACAGTCAAAGCTGATTCGTGTAACATCAGTTTCTTAATGTGCGGCCCTTTAAAATCTACCGGACACACTGCGACGATTGTAAATAACAATACAAATAAAAAAGCCGATAAAATGGTGATTATTTTTGGACATTCTCCGCAATTTGGGTATTTGAACACAGTTCAAGAGTATTATTTTGGTACCAGAGAATGGCATATAGTTAGTACAAATGGTAACATATTCTTTTGAACAATTGCATGTTATAAATATTGCTTAACTGTTTAGGTTATCCTGTGAAAGGTGGTTATGGCCATTCAGCAGCCTGGGATCCGCTAACAGGCAAAATATATGTGTTTGGCGGTGTAGTTTCTGAAAGTGAGTCAGCACAACATTTAAATAAAAATTTGTATTCCTTTGAGCCCAATGATAGGGTTTGGACTTTATTGGCTGATGCTCCTTCCGCAAGGTACCAAATCTCATCTACTGTCATACAAACACATTTATTGACATATATTTCATAGGTTTCTCCACACAGCAACTTTTATTTCTGGCGGTTTGATGCTGGTTTTTGGAGGAAATACACACAACGACACATCACATAGTTTTGGAGCTAAATGTTACAGTGCACAATTGCTCACCTATGACGTTCTGTGCGACTGTTGGACCGTTATGCCCATTAAAAAGGATTTACACGCTGATCTGGCTCGGTTTGGACATTCGGCTGTTATATTTGAAGATTCACTATATATTTATGGCGGGTTTGATGGGCAAATGCTCAACGACATGTTAAAAGTATGACTAGGGTATAATATTTGTATTTTATTAATTTTTTGTTTGTTTAGTTTACTCCTGGTGATTGCCAATATTTCAATAGTTCTAATAATTGCCTGAGTGCAAGGCCTGGTAGGAAATGCCTATGGGATATAAAAAATTTGAAGTGTCTTCCTGCAATGCGTGTTCCTAAGGAAGTGCTCAGGGAAGACAGCCCCTTTCTTAAATGCCCTGAGAAAAATAGGAGCAGCATTCAACAGGCGATTGTTGCTAATACTGAAAAATGTCATAGAATGGAAGTAAGGATTTTCCAGTAATGAAGCATTTATATTCTAATACAATACACATGTTTCAGGACTGTGTAAGTTGTGTTTATACTACTGCGGAATGCGTTTGGTGCAATGGAGTTTGTATGCACCATAAACGATGCCGGACAAATTCAACTGGTGCTAATTTCACTGAAACCGCCCTAGGTTTTTATGGAAGAAACGATTTGTGCCCCTCCGATCCTAAACCGATATGTCGTCAACTTCATACTTGTACTGCTTGCACATACCAACCATCTTGCAGGTAAAAGTTAGAATCATAATAGTTAAAATAATGCAGGGTTATGGAATTGGTTTTTTTTTTTTTTGATTTTGCTAGTTTTGAGAAAATAGCATTCGAGGCAGTAGTTGACAAATGAGAATTAAGCTGCTTTTTCTTCTATTTCGAAGGGTTTCAATTTGATAGCCTCTGCTCTTGCGTAGATGGCAAATCAACATCAAATATATTTTTTGAACAATCTTTAAATGTAAAAATAGGAACACATCGCTATATGTATGTATTGTGAGCTGCATCTCTAAAATATTCAATATTATTGATATTTGACGTCCATTTAAATAAAATGTTGTGTCGTATTACTCTTATTCAAACTTTGTTGTAATGTATCAATGTTGCCAATGAATCAAACCTTTCTAGATGGCGATTTGAACACGCCAAATGTGTAACTTTTCCTCACTTGAATGCTTCATTAGAGGCCAACGAGCCTACACAATGTCAAAAAGTGTGCACCGAATTTACCTCTTGCTTGAATTGCACGCAGGAGGAGTGTATATGGTGCCAAAACGAGGGAAGATGCGTCGATAAGGTAATTCTGACTAAGTTTTTTTGTAAATTTTGTTAATTCTTCAATTTTATCTAGAATGCATATACTTCAAGTTTTCCATATGGCCAGTGCAGAGAATGGACAACCATGAGCTCTAAATGTCGAACTAAAGGATCTGAAGAGAGTAGTTCTCAATGCAGGTATTTTGTTATAATTTTTTTCTTAAAGGAAAAAATCTTATTCACAACCTTTGTGGACCATTTTTATTACCAATAAATTAAGATTATTAAGTCAACGTTTCGGTACTGTGTTTTCTACCTGCCTCAAGTCTACGAAAAAAGAAGAAAAATTTGCTTGCTTTATACTACGACTAAGCTTAGCTTTCTTTAATAACTTGGAGAGAATTAATGTATCCATTAAAAAACGTAACAATATACATAGATCAATAGTAAAGACTGAATATTTAATATGATAATTCAGAAGTCTTTCTCCACAAATACTTTATTCATTTTAAACGTCCCTACATGTTTTGGGATTAGTAAATCCCATCATCAGGGGCAATAAATAAGCTCATATTAACAGGGTTAAAAAATTAGAGGAGTTTAGGTTTAACTTTAGATTAGAAAATCTAGAATCAGGACGCCAAATTTAATTTTGCATAGGAAAAAAATTACTTTGTCATATTAATTTAAAAGAAAAGGTAAAACTAGATTTAGGTTCCATGTAAATAGCTGTATTCAGTTTTAAATAAATTTCATTGAAAAACTTTTGTAGAATCTCAACAAAATGGCAGTATATAAGTTATAATTTAAACAATTTAGCAAGAAAAAGTTTTTTTCTTGAAAATCAGAATTATGTCCTTCCTCATGGTGCATACTTAAAGCGGTATTCTGGACTTTGGTTATGTTTGTTGTATGTCGTCATATTTATGTTGGTGAACACGCTTTTTTAAATGTTGAAACATAATTCCTATGAATCCTATGTATGTTTTAGATAGGTATTAGAATAGAAAAGAATAGAATAATATTTATTGCGTAATTTGTACAGTATATAATACAAAAACAATACACAAAAGGCAACATTCGCTGAGGCGTTCCTCCATGATGCCCTGTCTCTATAAACACTACACACACTATTAATACACAGATTCCAGTAATTGGCTTTTATAAATCTTTTTAAAAATCACTAATGCATTAATAATAAACAAATCATAGACATTTGAGTTAAGTAATTCCACAGACTGATTTCTCTCCAAAAGCATTGATGCAAACCAGCACAACTCAGTCCCCAGGACACCATAATGACCCAGCTTCCGCAGCAGTATTCCATGATTAACTGTATCGACAGCCTTTGAAAAATCACATCATCTCCCCAAAATCATAGTTACTGCATATATAATCAATCGCAGTAGCTGAGTGGTTCGTTATACGCGTTGGTTCATTTACGAACACTTTCAGGATGAAGGAGGTTAATAAAAGTATCAACGCTTTCGTGTCTTTTGAGTCAGGATTTTCGTAATCGATGATAAAGTCTCCTGCGAGAACGATTCTAGAGGAGAGCGAGAATTTGCGGAGAAGGACCTCAAGACCTTCCAAAAAAGTATCCGGATTACCAGAGGTGGGTCTATATACACAAACAACAAATACATCCAGTATCTTCACATAAACAAGGGAAAACTCGAAATGATTTCTAATTATTAAGTTGTTGAAAGACTCAATGCATACTATTTCGTACTGAACAAAAAAATCTTTATGAATAAGGATTGCCCTACCCCTGTAGCCTCCATCTCTGCAATATTGAGACATTATTTTTTTAATCGGGAATGTAACACAATTCTTCACTTGTTAACCAATGCTCAGTAAGAAGGACAAATGCAGGCATGTTGTTATTTTCAATTAAAATGAATAGTTCGTCTGATTTATTTAGAATTGACTGTATATTAAGCAGAAAGAAAGTAAGTTTTACGTCTTTTTTATTTAACTTTTTAATTTTTTTAGTATTTCCTTTCATCTTTTCTTTGATAGGAGGTGCGACCAGGTGCGTTGTTATTTAGTATAAAAAAGTTGAACTATCGCTACCTTCCCCATTACTCTTTACTTTAAAAATATAGATGTCGACTTGCTGATGAGCTAATTTCTGTTTTGCACTATGTTTTAAAGTTATAGATTTATTATAATTAAAATAATTGGACGTTAAGAACGAGTTTAAATTTAAAAATAACTTGTTAGCACCCCCTAGTTTTTCAAATATCGAAATATTTACTATTTACCTCGTTTATAAATTTGTTCAGAATAACTCTTTTGCTCCATAGTGGAATTGATAAGAAAATTAAATTTGTATCCAAACCGATGCCCTCCAGCTGTTCAAAAATCTTGGGGTCGATCTGGCTTCCTCGTCGTGCATTTTGTAAACCACCTGACACAATTACAAAGTCATTCTTGGTAAAGTTTTTCGCCAATAGATCGATATCTTGTACAATTTCCTCCATGGTTGCATTGTGCTTCACAAAGGTCAGCACATTGTAATACTTGTCTTGATAGATTTTCAGGAACTTATAAAGGTTTGTGATCGTACTATCACCCAGAATAAGAACTTGGTGATGAGACTCGTTGTGAGGATTGTTTCTATGGTTCCAGTGTAAATCCGCACCTGTAGCTGTAATTTTGGTATGTTGGGGACGGTGATACTCAAATTCGAGCCTTTATCAGTTTTTTGACCTCCACTATATATGAGTTTCTTTCTTGTTCTAGAACATCGGCCATAGTTCTCAAAGTTCTGTTGTTTTCAATCATATCATTTAGTTTTATTTGTTGAGTCTTGAGCCAACTTTTGCATTTTAAGACCTTCGCCTCAGTTTCCCTGTTTGCCTCCTTCAAGTGTTTAATTTGTTCTTCCATTTCCGATATTTGGTCAATGTCGACAGCTAGAATGTCAGTTTGAGCAAGAGATTCATAGGTCAAGGTGTCTGTTTGTGCGAAATCATCATCTTTCGAAAATCCCGTGCATTTTACAGATTCAGTTTCCATTGTGGGACTCTTTTTTGACTCTTCTATTCTACCCCTCAATTCCTCATTAAGAATTTTGCACTATCTGTATTTGGCTTGATATTGTTTCAATAGCTTGTTCTCTTCTAGCAAAGCTTTAATCAACCATCCAAGGACCTTTTTTTTTTCAGTTATACATGTAAACCTCATACTTTGTGAATGGCTTGCTTACGTCAAGTCCGACAACTTTTTCCTCTACGACTTTTCTCGGAAATGGCACGTATGCGCGCCAGAAAACATAACATCGTCAGATCGACATTTTGGGGGTATCGGACTCTCCCAATTTGCCATTATTTTTGTCGGCTAAGTTGATTTCCATGATTTAGACATAAAAAACAAACATTATTCGTAAGATTAGATTTACATGTATCAAGAAACATAACCTCGTCAGATCGACATTTTGGGGGTGTCGGACTTCCCCAATTAGCCCTTATTTTTGTCGGCCAAGTTGATTTTCGTGATTTAGACATAAAAATCAAACATTATTCGTAAAATTAGATTTACATGTATCAGGAAACATAGTTACCTCAGATCGACATGTTTGCAAGTCACCTGCGCGCCTACGTGCCATTTCCGAGAAAAATCGTAGGGGAAAAAGTTGTCGGACTTGATGTAAGCAAGCCACTCACAAAGTATGGAATTTACATGTATAACTGAAAAAAAAGGTCCTTGGATGGTTGATTACTTCGTTTCTCTCTGTATTGGATTTAAAGCATTGCACACTTGTAGCACAAAAATAGCGAACTTTCCTACTGAGCAACTCCAAAAATCTCACTTCTGAGGTAGGTACTCCATTTCTCGCAGTTTTTGCAAGTGACGATCTTACAGTTATCACACGTACATCCAAAAATATCGGTGTTGTTTTTTGATGGTTCCCTAAATACGCAGTTTTGCCCACACTTTGCGCAATTTCCATCCATTATAATATATAAATCAGATTGATGACTATGTATCAAAAATCTCTCATCAAGATGCTCCCAAGAGAACAATATTCAATGAACAGTTGTTTGTATTCATAAAGATTTGGAAACGGAAAGTAGCTATGATGAAGTGACATTTTTTTTTAATATCACCCAGTGTGGAATATGATAATAATCATGTTATTGTTTTGAAAGTTTAAAAAAAACACAACAAACGAGGACCAGAAAATCGCCCGCAAAGAATTAAAAAGTTTTTTGAATACAAAGAAAACTAAAGAGGTGATTTATGGAGTGGAAAACTTAAGCGACCACAGCATGAAAATTTATTGCAAGACATCAGAAGCAAAGGATCAAATCAAGACTGAAATAAGTATTAGTGATAAATTATCTTATGATATTGGCTCTTTTGATCAAATAAATCCAAGAATTAAGATAGTGGGAATAAGAATGGAAATGTCTAACAACGAACTTCTGGACTGTCTCCAGGAAGAAAATGATTAAATTCATAGTGCTGATAATCTAAAGGTAGTCGCCTTTAAGAAGATGCAACGACGTTATATGGCTATTATCGAGTGCGATCCAGATATTTACAAGATAGTCATGGATAAAGCGGCAGTTAGTGTCGATTATGACATTTGTTCTGTATTTGAATATATTAGCTTAACCCGGTGTTTTAGGTGCCTTGGATACCAGCACATAGCAAAAAATTGCACTAAACAAGCATCGAGGTGTCTTACATGTGGCCGTGAAAATCATACTTCCCAGGAGTGCCAGTTTAAGCAAGATCCTATTTGTCCCAACTGTCAGGAAAGTAATGATAAATATAATACAAATTATGAATCCGGTCATACTGCATTCAACAGAGAGTGTCCAGTATATCAAATCAAAGTAAGTCATGAAAAAAATAAAAATTGTAACTCATATGGTAAATAGGGGTTCAACGTTAAAAAATGTTCAGATAGTGCATCAGAAATCATAACCTTAAATGCTGCAGGGCTATTAACTAATATAAATGAAATAAAAAATATGGTTAGCAAAGTAAATCCGCTGATTATATGTTTGACTGAGACTCACATAACTAATGCAGTGTTTGATTTGGATTTAATTATTCCTCAATATACAATGATTAGAGTAAATTCTGAAAGTAAACATACTGGTGGTCTAGTGATTTATTTAAAGAGGTTTGTTAAATATGAGATAGTATCAACAGAAATCATTCAATATAACCTCTGGTTT